AGCTCTGAGCAACAGCGGTTCGAGTCCAGCCTGAGCTGAGCAGCCGCTGAGCTGCCAACAGGTAGCAGGATGGCTCAGCTAAAAAAAAAAAAAAGAAATATATAGTGGGGCCTGCTGAGTGGCATGTTAGTTAAGAGCTGGCTTAGGCCACCAGCTCTGAGCAGCAGGGCCCCAGTTGGGACCCCACATGAGGGCCAGTGACGCTGCGCCCTCTACAGTTAAGATGGTGAAGAATAGCTCAACGTGGAGCTGGGCTGCGGTGAGTCACCAGCGACGAGTAGGCTGCAGCCCCTGCTGCAGTGGGCTGCCGTAAGCTACCGTGAGTGGCCGGCAGCCAGGGTGACCAGCCAGCAGCTGGCGTGAGCTGCAAAGAGCCGCTGTGAGCGGCCATCTAGTGGCCGGTGAGTGACCGCCTTGCCCGGGAAGAGTGCAATGATAATACCAACATGGACCAGGGAAGTGACGTCCTCCACAACTAGACTGAAGAACAAAAAGATAGCAACTTGTCTGTTCCCCTCCCCCACTTCCCCAATAAAATCTTTACAAAAAAAAGAAAGAAATATATAGTGAAACATACAGTAGTCTTAAATTACATAAATAGGTTCACGTTAGGTTAGGCCTTTCAGTTTTTCCAGGGGCTTTTGGATTTAAGAATCATGGATTTGGACATTATCAATATTTGTAAAATTATAAAGAAACTTTCCCAAAAGACATTCAATTTCAGTAACTCTCCATGGAAGGTATGATTAACCTGAGTCACTGTCTCAAATTGACTGTGGAAATGGAGAGAATGCAACTAATCTTTAATAAAAAATGAATACATCTAATTAATTTGTAAATCACTGGTTATATTCAGCAATGTTTCCAATTCTCTCTTTTTGCTTTAGATCAACTTAAGGAACTGTACTAGGCATTGTGAAAACCAAACATTATGCCTTTTAATCAACAAACATTGGTTTTCTTCTACATAACAGACACTGTGATAGGTGCTGGGGATTCTACTGAATCACATAATACTTGTTTACTTAAAGAGTTTACTATATGGAGAGGAAGACAGACAATTACATTTTTATGTTAATAACATGTTGAAATAAAAAATATTTTAGGGCCAGCCAAGTGGCTCAGTTGGCTAAGAGCTTGCTCAAGTGTAAGCTCTGAGCAACAGGATCACTGGTTCGATTCCCAGCCGGAGCTGAGCTGCTGCTGAGCTGCAAACAGGTGGCAGGATGGCTCAGATTTAAAATATATATATATATATATATTAGATGTATTGGGTTACATAACATATATTATTCAAATTAATTTACCTACTTCTTACTACCTTCAAAAAACGTGTTCATTAGAAAGTTTAAAATTTACATTGGTAGCTCATGTTATGTTTCTGTTGGACAGTGGTGCTCTAAATCTTCAGTTGTTTCTGCTACACCAGCCCTAACACTGAAAATCCCTGCCAACCTTTTCCTTCCTGAAGCTTCCCTCCCTTCCTCAGCTTTTGTGACACTGCTCTGTGGAGGTTTTCCTCCCACCACTCATTTTCCTCAGCTGGCTTCTCGCTCTTCCACCCCCTCATTATAAATGTTCCTAGGAGTCTGCCTGGGCCTCCTGCTCCCTTCCTTTTCTTAGGTGTCTCCTCCACTGCTTCAACAACTGGTAAGTCTATTTAGGTGACTCTCATGTTTATAGCTCCATGGGAACATTTTCACCTGTTGGCACTTCAAAGTGATACTTCCAAACCACTTCCTCATCTTCCACTCTAAAATAGTTCTTTGCTAACGTCCTTATTTCTGCAATCGTCTCCCCCATTCTCCAAACTTAAAGCCTCCTAGTCAACTTTATGCTTTATTTTTTGCTCCTCAATTGGCTGCTATGTCTTGTTCATGTTTTTCCTCCTTTCTAAGCCTCTGCCACCACTGAAGCTCTCATTATATCTTGCCTGATTATGCAAAGTCACCTCAATTTTCTTATCTATCTAGCCCCAACTACCAGATTTATGTTCCTAAAGCAAAGCTCTGACCACAACAGTGCCATACTTTCAAAACACCTTCTAAACCTGCCTGGCATCTATCACATAACGGAGAAGCCGTATTCAGGGCCTTTGAAAGGTTTTTCAGAACATATCCATATTTAAGGTGTATCTCCCTACAATCTGATATAATAATGGGAGAACACAAGCAAAGGGAAAACAGACAAATGTTCTATCTTTCCTGCTAGGGTGATTCTCAGAGACCAACTCCTATCCTCCAGTTTTCCACAAATGGAAATTCATGCAGCAGTCTAGGGCTAGTAGCAGCCATTAACTTAAAATTCAGCAATAAATCATATCCATTCAGAGGATATGTATACCCAGAACTGTGGAAACTGTCTACCCAAAATCCAGAAATAAAAGAATGGAAAACCAGATGCTTGATGCCACATGTGTCATCTTTTTTTCGGGGGGAGGGATGGGCAACGTGGAGAGGAATCCATGCACTCAATAGGCTTCTTGTTTCATTGTTAAAGGCTTATTAAACGTGGGTAGGGGTGGGGCCTTAAGTTGGTTGAACTCTGCAAATTTGTTGACAACTGAAATAGGCTTTTGCAGGTGACTGAAATTAGCCAAGTGCAACAGGCTGCAATCTACTTCCCTGTTTTATCATCCTTCATAAGTTATTTAATGTTGAGAATGAATCACTGGACGTTTAAGATCCAGAGGGCTCCTGTTTGTAGTACACCCTATAATCATAATGCCCTCCCTACTTCAACTCCAACGGCGAAAACCTTTCCATTGCAAAAGATAATTCAAATAACAAGTTCCCTTAACCAGATGTGATCTCTACCTGCCTCAAACTTCAGAGAATGTTATGACCTTCATAATGTGCCCTACTATATATATGCCACATCGTTGTTTGCACACTATTCTTATCTCCCGTAGTATAAACCTTGAATACTTTATTCATCTTATCCAAAGCAGGCAAGCAATGCTTTAAATTTTATTATTAAATTACTTTCCCACAAGAGAAGCAGGTATTTATTTGAAAGGAATCTGGGCGCGAAGAAAACGCAAATATCTAAGACACATGCAAAGCATCGGACATACATGCTTCGTGACAATACCCATCAGACCCTGTTTTCCGCCTCGAATGTGAGACGTAAAGAACTGAGCCCTGAGTGCTACTAGCTTCCCCTGGACAAGGACAGACACAGGGCACGAGGCGCGGAGTTTCACCAGTTGCTCAATCAGACTCAGCGCAACGCGCTTCCTCTTTCTCCTGCTCCACTCAGTCAAGACTGTCAATCCCGGCCCAAAGCACCTGCGCCCTGAGATATCTTCGGGAAACCAGCACTTCCGGACCAAGGCTCCGAAGGGTAGTCTCTCTTCAACCTGACCGCGCGCCGCGCCCGGAACTCAAGAAACGGGCCACCCCTTCTCGTCCCCCACACGGGGCTCCTCTGTCCCCGCCCGGCCGCGCCCCGCTCATCCTCGAGGACACCGGCTCCGCGGCCCCTTCCGCGACAAAGAGCAGGGCCTTGTTCGCGGCCGACCGTGTCGACACCGGATGAGGGACGCCCTCCTCTCCCCGAACTCCCCATCACGCACCTACTCCTTTACTCGCCGCCGCCGGCCGCTTGCAGCCGAGGTTCCCTCCCGAGCAGCTGCTGTTTTGTTTCCGATGTAAAATCGCTGCCTCTGGAGCTGCCCGGCCCAAAACCCGCCCCAAAGGCTCACCGGTGTCGTCACTTCCGGATCTGGAGTCGTTGGCAACCGACCTGCCGGAGGAGGGGGTGATACCGAGAGGGGGATGAGGCGGGGCCCATTGCCAAAGGGGCGGTACCCAGGGGAAAGGGGTGGAGCTTCCGGTGGTACGCGCGGATTACCGAGGAAACCCTGCGCTCCGGACCGCCTCCGACCCGGAGGAACCCGCCCAGACTGCCAGAGTGACTTAGAGGTTGTCAAAAGATCCGAGACAGGTCTTTAGCTTAGGACCAAAGTTTACGTAAACTGGGCCCAGCGTGTACTCCTCCCGGACTACAAGTGATGGCATCTTAAACCTAACGTTATCATTTCTCTAGTGTACCTATTTGTAATGTTTGTCAATGCCCATCAGCAGCACCACAATCAAGAAAATGCTAATTAAAACTGTAAATACACCCCCTACCAATGAATTTAAACTTCTGGTGGGTGGGAGAATCTGAGAAACTGCATTTTAAACAAACATTGTCTGGGATTCTTAGGCTCCAAATTTAAGAACCAGTCTTACTAAATGGTAAGCTTCCAGAACACAAAATGTCTTGTTTTTGTAAACCCAACTCTAATGGTCAGCGACAAATCTGTCTGTGCACGTGAATCTAAAAGTCATCAATTCAACTAATACGTAAGGTTGCAGAATAGACAGACTAGGAGTGTCATTTAATTCAAACAACATGGCTTGCGAAGAATTTTTATTCACTTTTGTTTATAGAAATCTTCCTTTTTTGGGCATTTTAGATTACCATTCCTAATTTGGCCTTCATATAAGTAATAAAATGAAAGGTAAAGATTGGTCAATTAAAGAAAGATGAAAATGTCAGCATTCAAATGCAAATAAATATTTCAATTTAACATACCCACACCTCAGTAAAATCTTACGTTTATCAAAAATTATAAGCTCACTTTGATCTACAGTATGAATGTAATAGTACGAGTTCCTGGGTTTGAAAATACATGGTGAATTTTCCAGTTTTCTTCCTGACAACTAGACGCTGCCTATTTCGGAATCCTTCTCAGAACCTTTTTATCGAGTGGCATTCACAAATCAATTTCACCATCTTTTGCTGAACAAAAACTATCTCAATTTCATACTGTTAATAGAAGGATGAAATATGACCTGGAAAAATTTGTAGCCATTTTGACATAAAACCTTGCAGCGGTTTTTGGGTACAAGTGAAAACATTCCTAGAACTTATTAAAAAGAGCTGGGTAAATAAGCCTCATATACACATTTGCATGCCTGCTTACATTTATTTGCATAATTTTTTTTTTACTTCATATGAAAAAAAAAAAGATAACAAGTGTTTAGTCCAATTTGACTCTCAAGCTCAGTTTTCTCAATTTGTCCACCATATATAGTATTCATGCTGTTGAGTACCTGAAACAGCACTCTCCACAAAATAATTGTTAGCCTCTACTATTACATAAAAGTTTATCAGGAAATGGTGTAAGATTCAAAGTAACAACATACAGTTCTCTAAAAAGAAAATGTTCTGGGACTGGCTAGGAATAAAGCCTGTAATAGAGTTGTTCTCAAGCATCATTTTTGGAAGATTAGTTTATATTCATGAACATACAGAATAAGTATCTGCTTATTTGCCTCAAAAATGGTTTTCTTTATAATCTACTTAAAAAGAATATTAAGATGCATTTATGTAGTCTGTTAGGATAAAATACTAGTACTGAGTAGATACCTTAAACTGATAATCTAAGTGTAGTCCTTGGATCAGTTAGCGTTGGCATCATTGTCAACATCAGGCCCTCCCCTACCCCTACTCAACCAGAGCCTCCATTTTAACAAGATTCAGGTACACTTTAAAGTTGCATTTAAAAAAAAAAAAACTACTTCAAATAACTTATCTTTCCTCCTGTAAACAGATGTACACATTTTAAATTATTTTTAACATCAAATGAGGAAAAAGCACTATTGATTTCCTAACTGCCAAACTTTCATATAATTTTATAACAACCTGAATGTGCAATATGGATTAACTAAAGGTTTCTAAACTGAAATTAAGTAGTATGGGCAAATGGTAAAGACAACCCAGAAAGTACATGTAATTTAGTAGAAATGTTCTTATGTGTACTCTCCCAGACACTAGAATATGCCAGTTTATACATGTGCAATTCTTTATATGCAAATCTGAAAAACAAACTCTTCAAGTTTAAGCTTGGTGGCAAAACCTAACTAGAATTGACATTAAGCTATTAATGTAGTGGTCTTTAACCCAGTGGCTGTGATCATTCCTGCTCTGATGCAGAAATGTGAATGTACAAGCTTGGGATCCTAAGGCAAATCTCACCAGAGGTGTTATGCAGTACATGGTTTATGTCCCCAAGGGTTTCAGATACAGGCCCTGTAAGATAAATTTAGTGAAAGAGCAGAAGAGACCAAACCAAGGAAAATTAAATGTAACCGAATAAACCTTCATGCTAATTTTGGCTACATAAAAGCAACCTAATATGCTTTAGAAGCAATAACATGGTAAGAGAAGACACATAATAAACTGCTTGACAAGGTGTTAGGCTGAGGGTCAATTTGAGAAAAGGCTACTAATGAATTTGTAAATGGCAAGGAGCATGTTTTTGAAAATTTCCCTTGAGAAGCCAGAATTTAAAATATTGTAACACTAAAAGGGGATATCTCCATAGACATACAGAGTAATCCTAAATAAGGTAAATGGCCTCTTTGGCCTTCAGTTACTAATACTCATAAAAATTCAACCCATATTTTCAAGTTAAGTTTCTAGTATGTACTGCACAATTACAGCATGATGCCATTTATTTTAATAAGACTCTGAAAGAACGAGTCCCCAAGATCAAATATATACATTTTTAATATTTGAAATATTTACATAATGGAACCATGTCATGGTCCAATGTAAAGAACAGTGTTTTCAAATGTCCTTATAATGTAAAAAAATCTAGTAACTCGAGCTCAGTTATGCTTTTTTAACACCCCTGCCCATCTTTATCTTTCTTTTAAATAAATACTCAGACATGGGAAATAGCCGCACCTACTTTGTGTTAAGAACTGTTTAAAACTTGTTCCATTTTCAGGTAATTTTGCTCTCTGGTACAGTTCTGATCTACAATAAAGAAAGCCCCATGTATGTCTTTAACACCATCAGTATATTTTTAAATGTCAATGTCAGAGCTATAAACCCTTTACAAAAAAAAAAAAAGAAAAAAAGAAAAATTAGTGGTAACTGCCTTAAATGATTTACTTTATCTTTAGAAATGAGATGTAAACTTTGTAAAATGCCATGCTGAATTCCTATTGTATTTTCTCAAACTTTCCTAGTCTGTAAAATTGCCTAGTTTTATCTCTTCTTTTTAAAAAGCTTTTTTCATTTATGCTTTCTGAAATTTTTTTAAACAAAGGGGTATACCAAAATAAAGCTAAGGACCAATTAGTGCAAAAATCCATTAAATAAAGCTCCCCAGAACCCAGAATCTAAGGATCTACCTCATTTCTGAACAATGAAATTGGGGGTGAGGGGTGGGGAACCAGAGATCCACAATCCCTTAAAAGACAGGCTGAAGCAGCCAGCTATCAACAGGAGAACCTCATTCTGTTCAACAGACTATTGTTGCTTGCCATAAGAGAATACCATGCTCTGGGAGACTAATAACCTAATTATCCCAGACATTAGGGTTGGCACAACACGACGTTTCCTTTACGATTCTATTCTTCAGCAGTTAGAAAATGTTTAAGGGGGCCCTCCAAAGCCAATTAAAGTTAAGACTTTTATATGTACATTCACACAAACACATTCATACAGAGATACAGGAATGGACGGTCTGCTAATTTCTGCACTCTTAATTTTAAATTTTGTGCCTTCACGAGAGCTTGCCAATTCTGATCAAGAAGGGAAGAACTAGTATTCTTTCAATTAAAATTGTTCATGTTGGTTCCTATACAGTACAGTTCAATATTAAGTGCAATTCTGCAAAAGAATTGGGGAGTCATTTTAATATTTACAAGGAACAAATCAGCAGAACAAGATTATATCAGATAGGCTGTGTACAGTAGCTGCGGCTTATAAAACATACCAGTAATTTGTACCTGGTGAGTATAAAGAGAACCAAGGTAGGATTCAGATGTCTTTACAACCTAGGGAGTACACAGGGCATCAACAAATTGGAGGACAAAAAAAATTCACATTTTCTACATTAAAAAAAAAAATTACAGATCTCACAAATGTCTTTGAAGACAAAGAAAAATTCAGAGTCCTTTGAAGGATGGGAAACAAGATATCTGAAATGTATCTCTTAAGTGTAAAGAGAGTTTTACTTCACAAGACCTATTTTCTTGGCTTCTGTTTCATATATCAATAACCTCCACATTTTGACTATAAAAACTTCTGCTTCTTCATCAAGTACCTAGAAGAGAAAAAGAAAAAAATAGTAACACATGCAAGATAAGCAATCATCATCATCTCCCAACAATAATGACTGGTATAAAAAAAGGTTTTCATCTACTGACAAGCATTTACTTTCAATAAAATGACTTACAGGAAATCTGTCCAGTGTGAGAAATGTCCTAAGTAGTACATGTAAATTACAAAAAAAAAAAAGCATTCAGCAAAATTCCATGGCTTACTGAATACTGAGACCACAGTATTTTGATTCAACTTCTATTCTAACTTTTAACTTTACAAATACTTTATACATGTCTTGAAAAACTCTTTTCCTAAGGAAAGCAAATGTTTGTTATAAAGAACACAGCATTTAGGCAGAACTAGTTGTACAACTACACAGTAACTTAATACAGAGTATCTCATTTACCTCCAAAAACCACCTTACAATCTAAATATTTATGGAGTCACTATGTATGTGACATTGAATTAAATATTGAATGAGAATGTATGTATAGGCATTTAGTACAGTGTCTTGGATAAACAGAGTAAGTGAACACTATCATCATCACAAGGGACATAAGACTACTGAATAAATAAATAAAAGGTCTTTTCCC